GGGTGAAGTTTCAAAATGCCAAACTCAGAGTTTCCTGAATTCTATCTTTAGGATTCATTATATTATCTCCTGCCTCCCCCATGATGCCCTCTAGGGGAGAACCATGAATTTCTCCTGTTTGGAGATCTTCCGGCTGTTACTCTACATAAACCTCTGTCATCTTGATTCTTCTCAAACTTTTTCATGGCTTACCACCTCAGAGTCTCTGAAAATCCTGTGTTCCTTCGCTTCTCCATCCCACAATGTTATAAACCTACTAGGATCTTTTCTGCAGGCCTACAGGTCTGATCTTTTGAACAAATGAATACTATCTTTACTTTATTCTGGCTCCATTCAAACCAAGATTCCTCCCATCATTTTTAGAAAAGATTTAGTTTGTCTCTTCCATCGAAGATAAATACTGTATTGAAAAATCTTAAAAAAAAATGAAGAGCCCCAATATGAACAAATATTTGGTGCTTTGGATTAGTCTCTCTCAATCTCACGAGAACACTTTTACTTAACTTTCAAATCCCCAGGCTCACCCAAGGCTTTCATGCTTCGGTTGATGTGATGATTCAGCATTTTCTCCCTTCAGTTTCTCAAAATCCCTTTGTATTCTTGGACTTTTAAAACTAAGTTTGCCTATTAGTGTTTAATAGAACAACCATGATGGAAAGCAGAGAAACCTGCTTTCCATCATGGTTGTTATGGTTTTGGGGATAAGTCAGTAATTAACAAAGGGCCACCTGCTGTCAGGTCTCCATGGCACAGCCCACTTTGCATAGAAGATTTTTATAGACATGGTAGAGCTTTCTTAACTACAGAGCTAAATGGTCCTGAGTAGTCTTTCTTGTTCCTCAGTCAGAATTTGTCAGGCCTATAATGTAATTCTCTGGCTGCCACCGCCAAAGCTCAGAGTTTTTTTTTTTTTTCTTTAAGATTTTTATTTATTTATTTATTTGACAGATAGAGATCACAAGTTGACAGAGAGGCAGGCAGAGAGAGAGGAGGAAGCAGGCCCCCTGACGAGCAGAGAGCCCATTACGGGGCTCGATCCCAGGACTCTGAGATCATGAGATCATGACCTGAGCCGAAGGTAGAGGCTTTAACCCACTGAGCCACCCAGGTGCCCCAAAACTCAGAGTCTTACTTGTTTCATAGTTAGTTCCCAGGATTAGCCAAAGTTAGATGGGAAGTCTGAACAAATGGTTCAGTAGATAAACTAAATTTTTAAAGGCAATAAGAGCGTAACAGTAAGGGTCCCTTCAAGAAACAAGAACCGCGGGGCACCTGGATGGCTCAGTGGGTTAAGCCTCTGCCTTCGGCTCAGGTCATGGTCTCAGGGTCCTGGGATTGATCCCCACATTGGGCTCTCTGCTCAGCGGGGAGCCTGCTTATCCCTCTTTCTCTGCCTGCCTCTCTGCCTACTTGTGATCTCTGTCAAATAAATAAATAAAAATCTTAAAAAAAAAATGAAACAAGAACCACACCCATTATTTGAATCAAGTGAGTTGTATATGGAGACTTTAAAACTAAGCTCTTAAAAAAATGAAAGGGTTAAAAGGGGATACTGAGATGTTACAAATGTAGGAACTACAGAAAACCCTGGGAAAGATATTTTCTTTCAAGGGAAAAGGGAGGGAATTAACACTTAGAAATTTAGAGAGGGGGTTGTCCTGAGAATCAGATGTTTCAGGAAAACTGGCTAGCTGGTGACTTTGAGTGGGGTGTGCTGTGAGGCAGTTTCTCCAAGTGTTGAGAATATTGCAGACTGGATTTAGGTGCTTTTTGGGGAAGGATCTGGGGCTGCTGGAGTGAACAGGTATTACTGGGAGAGACTCCTGGGAATTGTCAGCATTCAGGAAGTCCCAATTAAGCAGAAGGAAGCAAAAAGGAAGGAGCACGTGCCTTCTTCCTCTTCAGCTTTGCAGCTTTCCTCTGTCACCCCCTAGTGGCAAAGCCCGACAAAGTGGTTTGCAGAGCATCACAGGGCTGATAACAGCAGGGAGGGCATGCAGCTGGGACAGTATCTTAGCACCTGGTACAGAGGAGCTTACTCTGAAAGCCCAGAGCTTCCCAAATAAGCATCTTTAAATCAGCTGAACCACCGATATCAGCGAGGGAGACAAACCATAAGAGACTCTTAACTATAGGAAACAAATTGTGACGGTTGCTGGAGGGGAGGTGGGTAGGGGGAAATGGGGTAACTGGGTGTTGAGCATTATTAAGGAGGGCACGTGATGTAAAAAGCACTGGGTGTTGTATGCAACTGATGAATCACTAAACTCTACCCCTGAAACTAATAATATGCTGTATGTCAATTATTTGATTTTAAATAAAGTAAAAAATAAATCATCTGCCTTCCCACACCATTCTTTATTTCCAGTTCCTTAATGTCATTGTCTCATTATGAGTTTTGGAGTCAGAGTTGGGTTCATATTTTAGTTTTTCTTTGTGAGCTGTGTGACTATAAGCAAGCTATTTAATTTTCTTTAGTCATTAAAAAACCACTTTGAGATATGATTGACATACAAAAAACCAAGTTCAATGTAAATAACTTGATGAGTTTGGAGGTAAGTATATGACCAGAGAAACAGCATAATCAGTGCCATAAACTTGGAAAGTTTCCTCTTCTTTTTTTTCTCATTTTCCTTTTTTTGGTGATAAGAACACTTAATATACATCTTTTTAACAAATTTTGAAGTATACATTATAGTATTGTTAACTATAGACCCTGTGGTACACAGTAGAACTCTAAGACTTACTCATTTTACATAACTGAAGCTTTGTACCCTTTGACCATTACCTTCTCAATTCTCCCCACTCCTGAACCTCTGGTAACAGATGTGAAATATTGGGGTTCAGGAGCAAACAAGAAAGAATTCTTGAGACATCTTTGGTGCAAAAAGGGTAGTTTTATTAAAGCACAGGGACAGGACCTGTGGGCAGAAAGAGCTGTACTGCGGTTGTGAAGAATGGTTAATTTTATATTTTCAAGTTGGGAGGGGGTTGGGTTAGCCTGAGTCTCTAAGGAGCTTGCAAGCAAGGTTTCCAGGACCCTGAGGGACTAGCAGGTGTTAGGAAAACTCCATTTACTACTGTCTAGTAAAACCTCAGTCATGAGATGCTTCAGGTGAATATCAGTGGACCATATGCTTGGAGGATGATTGCTAACATATATCTTGGGTCAGGGTAGAGATAAAGGAAGTTTCCAAAGGGATTTTTATAGGATCCTGGAGGTCTAGCTAATGTTAAGCTAAAGTTGTCTTTTGCCTTTAGCAAAGTATTAATGGTGAAGCAGTTGAGTTCCTGGAGAACGGTCACTTTGCCTATATCAAATACTTGTTGATGGGCTGTAAATTGTAAGGAGATTTAATTTTTTTTTTTTTTTGCTTTTTTACTCCACATCAGTAACCCCATTCTTGTCTCTGCTTCTATGAGTTTGACTATTTTAGTTTCTCATATAAGTGGCATCCTCTAGGATTTGTTCTGCATCTGGCTTACTTATGTTAGCATAATCATCTATGTTGTTGGAAACAATACAATTTACCTTCTTTTTTAAAGTTGGGTAATATCCCATTGTATGTAAATACCATATTTTCTTTATCCATCATTCATTGTTGGATACTTACTTTGCTTCCCTGTTTTAGATATTGTGAATAATGTTGTAATAAACATGGGAGTACACCTGTCTCTCTGAGATCCTGGCTTCAGTTTGTTTAACCTCTTTCAAATTTAATTTACTTATCTTACAAAACCAAGATAACTGTTTCACAGAACTGATAGAATATTAAATGAAATTGAGTTCACTTGAAGTTTAGTCTGTGTATAGCATATGGCACTAAACAAGGGAAGGAGAAAGGAGAAGAAAAATAAGGAAGAAAATACACATAGTTTCTATAATCCTTCTAATTGGTCACAAGATAGTAGTTGATACTTGTAACTCTCTTCTTCCTCTACCCATTTTATGTTTTCTTTATGCTCAGTCAGGACTTGAGTTGGTTGAGGTTCTTTATCTGATAGGGAATGATTTAAATATTCATTTCTGAAAGGTCTTGAATCCATAGTGGTCCTTTTTCAGGTTGTCAATAAATGGGTTACACTAGCACACTCAAATAGAGTATATATTGAATTCAGAATCCAAAAAAGCCCACCAAGAGTTATGCTTTTTCCCAGCCGAAGACAGTTCAAGGGACAGCAGTTTTTCTTTCATCCTAAAAAGGAGATCTCAACATGTTCTGGACAGTTTGACTCCAAGAAGTTTCACTGAGGTGGGAACCTCCTTAATTTTTGTGGGGTTTATCTTCAATCCGGAGTTCACATGTGTTTACTAAGACATCTAAAGTACTTGCTACTTCCTGCTCCTCAGAAACAATTAGCATGATGTCATCTGTAGTGTCACTGTAGTGGACTGATATGCTGTGTGGAATATCAAGTTGATTAAGATCTCTGCTGAGTATATTATGTCAGAAAGCAGGAGAGTTGACACAGCCTTGAGGCAGTATTTGTAAAGTTACTGTTAGTCATGCCAGGCCAGTTAAAAGCAAACTACTTCTGATTGTCCTTGCAAACTGATTTGGAGAAAAAGGCATTTTCATGTCAAAAGCTGCATACTTTTAATTGCCTGGGGCTATGTTGATTTGTTCCATGAAATACACTCCGTCTGGAACATAAGCTCCAATTGGAGCCATTACCTAAGTTAGTTTAAATAATGGTAGATAATTACTCTTATATTCTAAGATTTCAGCTTATTGGATAAATCTTCAGCTTATTTGGGTAAATACATAAGAACACAATTGCTGGATTGTATGATAAGCCTATATGTTTAACTTGGTAAGAAATAGCCCAATGGTCTTCCAAAGTGGCTGTACCGTTGTATATTCCCACCAGCAGTAAGAGAGAAGTCTTGTTGCTCCAGCAGGATTTCACCAGCATTTGGTGTTGTCACTAGATTTTTAGCCACTCTAATGGTGTTCAGCTTGAACTTTTTTTTTTTTTTTTT